ATATATATATATATATATATATATATATATATATATATATATATATATATATATATATATATATATATATTAGGTGTGAGACCTGTGTATTACACAGGTTTATTAAAAATAAAAATTTAACATGAATATATATAAACATTAAATATTTTGTAAAATAATGTTTTTCCATAACAAAATGTAATCTTTTGAAGTATTTATGAAAGAAATCAAATCATTTGAAGCATTTATGAGAATTTATTATCAAATTAATAAAATGATAACCTTACATATATATATATATATATATATATATATATATATATATATATATATATATATATATATATATATATATATAACCCATTAGAATGTTTGGAAATTTATTTTAAGAAAATTGAAATCCCTAAAAAATGACAAGTGGAAAGTAACAATTTTAAAAATCCTAGAAAATGACATGTGTCAAAATGAAAGAGAAGATAACAAGTGGCAAAAGTATTTTCATTTACTAGGAAGAATATATATATATATATATATATATATATATATATATATATATATATATATATATATATAAAATTGCAAAAATGGTCCCTGTGGTATGCAAATTTTTGGGGTTTTAGTCCAAACCCCGTGTTTTTTGGATCCTTGGTCATTTTGGAGTGGTTTGTATGTGGAATTGGTCCCTGGACTTAACTCCCGTTAAATAGGATCTGTTAACCCCCCTCATGTGCCTCACACGTGAGGGTAAATTCGTCATTTCATATGTAAGGGACCATTTTTGCATAACCTGTTTTTTGGCTTATTTGACATTTACCCCCCCCCCTCTCTCTCTCTCTTGTTTGTTCATGAACAAAGGTTTCTTTGATTAACCAGTTGAAGATACGTTCTTCATTCATCTATTCATCTTTTAGAAACAAAAATTCAAGGTCCAATTTTAAAAGACACACACATACACCCGAAAAACATATTCAACGCACAACACATCGATTCAACAAACTACACACACTGATTCAACTTGTTATGAGTTTTCACACACTGATGAACTTGATTCAACACACACACGCACACATTGATGAACTCAAATATCAAACACCATACCGACCTGTTGCACCTACGATCATACACATCACCCCATTCTTTCACTTTCATCTCCCAACAGTTCCCCACCCCTGTACAAACCACTTTTGCAATCGATTTTTTCAGATACAAAAGGGGAAACATCACCGGTATGACCTAAAATCAAAATCAAACCTATAATAAAACCTATTGCAGAGTCGGTGATTTCCCCACCCACATTAGTCAGTCTCCAATTATAGAAGCACAATGCTCCAGCACATGCACCAGTAATGGCATCATTACCTGCTCCTACAAAATGTCCTGGACTGAGCATCGTTTCCCCTTCTCTGCTCAAGTTCTAAAAAACGTAACCAAAAACTTCTCCAATGAACACGAACCGGGTCATAGTGGATTTGGGGTTTTTTTATAAGAGTCAAGAACACGGGAGAAAATAGTGAGTTCATGTGAGGATTTAGGGCAAAGAAGGGAAGGAGCAGGCGTATTGGCGACGATGAGAGGGAAAATGGGTTAGGGCAAAAAAGGGAAGGAGCAGACAATGATGGTGCGAGAGGAGGAAACAAACAGTAGTACGCACGCCCCTTCCTCGCTTTGCAATCAATACAAAAATCGATACTTGGAAAATGAGGATAGTTCGATTGAGCACCAGAGGATTTCTTATTTGAACTGGATGTAGAAATCATGAATTTCTTTTTTGTGAGCTTCTGATCACCAGATTCTTTATGAAAGAAGGGGAATATTGGTTATTGTTTAATTGGGTTTGTGTTTAGAGAGAGAGAGAGAGAGAGAGAGAGAGAGGTAAATGTCAAATAAGCCAAAAAACAGGTTATGTAAAAATGGTCCCTTACATATGAAATGACGAATTTACCCTCACGTGTGATGCACATGAGGGGGGTTAACAGATCCTATTTAACGGGAGTTAAGTCCAGGGACCAATTCCACATACAAATCACTCCAAAAGGACCAAGGATCCAAAAAACACAGGGTTTGGACTAAAACCCCAAAAATTTGCATACCACAGGGACCATTTTTGCAATTTTGTCAATTTAATATATGTATATGTTTTTTAGAGGCCCAAGTTAGCCCAACCTAAAATTAACCCAAGAAAGTAAGCAAGTTGGTCTGCAGGAAGCAATAAATGTATTTCGTCTGAAATAGGAACGAAGAAAACACGAATTAGGGTGCTGAATCTTGTTTGTTGTTCTAAAAAAGAAAAAAGGGCGCCGAATCAATAATCAAATCGTCATCCTCGATAATTGAATCGTCACCTACATCACACGAGAATGCCTTGTGAATCGATGAATAATTCAAAAATAATAATGTTCGTGATTCATCTTATATCGTTCCATTATCGATTCAAGACTCGTCATCATCACTCTCATTTAGCCGTTTCTCTCTTGTTCATCAGAAGGCTAATACCATTCCTAAAATAATCAGAAGACTAATCTCGCCTTCGGTTGTGATGATTTATGAACTGAATAGCATTCACATATTCCTATCAGGCCTTCTCTAACATTCAGTTCTCCTCACTTCTCGAATCTTGCAATCTCGCCTTCCCTTGTGCTAATTATGTTGATTACTAAATTGGATCAGTTGTGAGATATCAGAATTCGGATAAAGTATGAGATTATGAGTTTTATATCTAATTTATGTTTCAAATGCAAAAGGAACAAACACATGTTGATTTTCTATACATGCATTCTCGTGCTTTACCACTTTGCACGCAGCGGCTTTCAAAGCGGCATGCCCAGCTGTGAAACCCCCGCTCCCCAAACCAACGAGAGGAGAGGCCCCAGTAAGATCCACGCACGCATGCTTCCCTCCTATCCATCCAAAGACCAAAATGTCAGCCGGTCTAAGTGTGGACCTGCCATCCTGCGGGTCCGTCAAAAAGTTCACTGGCGCTTCTTTCTTCACAGAAATACCAGCACGCCAACAAGCATCAAAGAGAACATCCCGAACCACATCATGTCTATACTTGAAACCAGGGAGCTCTCTACAATGAACTGCGTGTTCCCCAAAGGTATCCAAACATGCCTTGCGACAAACTGGGCATATCTCGTCAATTGGGAATATGGGAATCATGAGGCGGTAACGAAGGATAGTTCGGTACTCCACAGGAGACATATGTTGGCCAAGACCTTTTGCATTCGATACATTTGGTTTTCTCACACCAGAGGCGGTGGAGCTCCTTAATAGAGTCCAACGGGTCATGCATTCTAATGTCATATCTCCTAGATCCACAAATGTTGTTTTCAAAAGAATTGGTTTTGCCATCCAGAAAGGGCTAGCGGCGCAGCTTGTTGCCCGTTTGCCTTCAATCGATATGTATTGAACTATAATATTTTGTTAAAAGAAATATGAACTACTTAATGTTGTGATTTATGTTTCTAATTTTTAAACCGATTGTTAATTTTTAGACTGAATCGAGTCTTGACATACACCTAATTTTTATTTATGGTTTTTGTATATCAGTTTTTTGTTTATAACTTTTGTTTCTCAAAGCTTTCAATTTGTAGTTCTAATTTTTGTTTGTATTTTCAGCCTGAAACCCATTGCTCTAAATTTAAGATTTTTCAGTAAATAAGGTACGTCTTTGTAGATTTTTGTATGTAATTGTATAATCATAAGTTTTATGTTCCAAAATTTCTCATGTTTGTTGCTGACTTGTTCTTTTAGTTTCAGCTTCAAATTATCATTTTGATATGATAAGGTAATTTGTTAATCATAATTGTTGGTTATCGAATTTTTTTCCTATTATTTGATTTATCAGATTTATGACTTTTGTTACTGATTTTTTTGCAGCTTGATATTAGGCTTCTATAAATTTGAGATAGAAATAATGTGTATTCATACAATTCATTAATAATAGCATCGCTTATTTGTTAATGGTTTTGCAAATATTAGTTATAGAAAAATGTATGTTAGATAAATTTAATCTTAATGAATTCTGTAATGACATGTCTTCTTTTGAATTTTTATTATATATATGACGATACAGGGCCCTTTTTTTTTCTTCTCAGTCTGGACCCAAAATATGTTTGGAATACCCCTGCATATAACTAAAAAGAATGTAAAATATAAAAATGTAGTAAAACAACGTATTAAATTAAAACTAGAAAAGAGCCAAATAGGTGTGCCGGTGAAGTAAAATAAAAGTAATAATTTTCTCTAATAAATGAAAGTTTTTTTTGCCACTTGTCACACTCTCATTCAATTTGCCAAATGTCATTTTGTGGTTGTTTTGAATTAATTTTTTTCCACATGTCATTTTATGAGTTTTTCTATTTTATTAAATTTTAGATAATATTTTAATGTAATAATTGCAATAAATGTAGTAATAAATGGATATCAATTTCATTAATAAACTTACATTTTAATTTCAAAATTTCTAAAATTAAAGCTCATTATTTTCTTTTCTTTATTTAAATTATTTGTTTAAATTTAAAAGATAAAAAACATTTTCATTATAATAATTCATTATTTTTTTATTTTCTTATAAATTCAAAGGTCAAATATTTATATTTTACTTTTTTTTTAAATTAACCCGTGTAACACATGGGCCTCACAACTAGTATAAGTATAAAGTAATTAAAAATGAAAAACTATATTCATAAAAATTCAGTAGTTAAAAATAAAATAGTTATATTGAGTTTGACTATTGACTGCTACGGAAAACTAAATAATAAAAACTTTAAAATGAGCTTTTTTTTAGGATTACCCAAAATTTAATGTTTGATTATTAATTTGTTATTTTTTTCTAAAATGTATCAATAAATGCAATTAATTAAATTCATCAATAAATACAATCAATATTAAAAATTTTAATCTTATGTTCTATATAACTAGACCTCACTACATACATAATATATCAACACCTATTTTTTTCTCTCCCATTTCTCATTTTGTTGATTGAAAGAGAATAAGGCTATCATTTAAACATCAGCATGACGAAGTCCCTTATTCGCTACACATTTCTTATGTTTCTCATCATCGTAGGTAACATCTATTAACTCTAATCTCTTTGATTAAAAAATTTTAATTACAAATTCATGAAAACTAGGGTTAATACCCTCCGCGTGTTGTTTAGGAAAATTTTACCTGCAATATTTTTACGAAAAACATTTAAAAAATCAGTTTAAAAATTGTAAATTTTTTGGGGGAAAGTTGTATAAAAGTTTGTACCAAATTCGTAAAAGGAAAAAAAAACGGAATGTTGGATCAAAACTATAATAATGTTGGATCAAAATTGTAAAAATAGTTTATGAAAATAGTAGTTTATAAAAAAAACAATGAAGTCATGAAAAAATGTTGGGTTAAAGATCATAAAAAGTTTGTATCAAAAATTTGGGACATCAAAAGGTGAGAATAAGAAGGGAAATCACACATCGGCCAAAAGATTGGCGAGGGCCTTTACCGTTGGGCAATACTAGTTTTACTAATTATTTACTGAAATTTTAATATAAACAATAAAAGGGAATTATATAATAATAAAACATTATTATGAAGTTGTTATTTCGTATATATATAGTTATAAATTTTGTTTGTATAGTAAACAATATTAAACCATTATTTTTTACTTTTTAATATTTATGGATTTTTATGGTGATTTGTTGCGATAAAAATACAAGCACTTAATAGAAAACATGTTGTTCAGGGTGGTAGATTTATTGACTATTTAAAAGATAAGTAACTATAGCCCAACAATATTACTTCAATCCAAATGGTTGAGTTATATGAAATTGTGATTTAACTTAGGAGTTTATTAGAATATGTATGTCGTTCTAAAAACTAATTATTATCATATGAAAAATCATACATGCTTTCCAAATTTGTAGGTATGGAATCTCTCACGGCCCAAATTTGTGGTGACGTCCATTTTTTAGCGCCATGTGAAAAATATACATGTATCCATGTATGTGAAAGAGTACATGGATATAATTCTCATGGAATATGCAGAAATGCAGTTACGTGTAAATGTTTTTATGACTGTTATCCGAAGGATGAGAATAATAGCAGCCGCAGAGACTCTCGTCTACTTTCTCACCCTAATGGTGCCCCTCGCAATTCTCCTACTATTAATTAAGAATAGCAAACTCAAATGTTCAATCGCTACAAATGTTACTAAGATTTATTAAGATATTGCTTAGTTATGTGAGATATTATGATATGCTCAATTGATGACAACTATCTCCATGTGATTCATAAAGCAAATAATTAGTAATTAACAAATGTAATTCATAAAGAAAATAATTAGTAATTAAAAAAATGACACCTCTCACACACATTCTCTTTATGTTGCCCCACACCCCAAAGACTAAAAAGCAGGGTTGTCCCAAGACGATTTGAGGCTCGATGCAAAATAAAAAATGGATCCCTTCATGATAGATATATAGATACAATTTTTTTTGGTAAATGAGGGTGGCACCTCCAAAATATTTTAATAATTAGAAGAAAAATTAATACAGTTGCAGGCCAGGGACTCCCTACCGATGGAAAGGAAAAAACTTCCAGATAGGCCCAAGAACCAAACAACCTAGAACTATAAATACTAAACAACAAAATAAAAATGTTATAACATGATTTGAACCCTATTACATAAACATAGGAAAGAAAAACTAAAAATGTTTACATTTACGAGCATTTTGAGAAGCAAAGTCATCATAAATAGTATCAAGGTGAAGTTGTCCAACATATCTTTTTTGATGCGTAACATAGCCAAACCATTCAATCTTTTTTGTGATATAGATGATCTCAAATAACTTTTTAATGACTTTAATTTTGAGAAATTTCTTTGTAGTGATGCTACAGTATAGTTAATAATATTTGATATGCAATGAAAAACATTTGGATAACAATCTTCAGTTTTAACAAACTCTAGAATTTCAACAACAGACATAAAAACGTTTGGCAAAGTCATTTGCAATAGTTAAAGTTTAGAAAACAAACAATTTGAATCTACATCACACAGGTTATTATGAGAAAACTGTTTTGTGAAATTAGTACAACTTTTTTTAAGTTCAATGTCATCAATGACTTTAACTTTTTTGAATCATATAAAAATCAAAAAATATTTTAAAAAATAGTTAATTGCTCAAATCTACTCTTTAATGAAACAATTGTCATATCAACAACAACTATAAAATATTCAATTCTAAACAATTCTTCGGTTGACTGTAATACTTGTGCATTATCAATTTCATCAAATTGTCTTTTTCTAATAACTTGACATCTTATTCAAAATGTAGGTTTTACATACGTATCAATTGTTGTGGCTTTAGCACTATCTAAATTACTTGCAAATTCTTAATTTCTATATTTCTCAAAGAACAACATTATACTTTTTAATTGATTAATGGTGGCATCAATAGACATAGATTTAGTTTGTAACTTTTTACTTACCATATTAATAGCAAATAAAATATCACACCAAATTACTATACCAAGTAAATTCATAAGTTTCTATGGAACTAACTAGACTTTCTGCTTCATTTTTTGATTTCGCATCATCACATGATTTACCTAATGCAATCAAAGCTTTTCTTATTTGAGGAGCTTGAAACCTAACAACTTTAACACTCTTAATTCTACTTTCCCAATGTGTATTAGATAAACATTTTACCGTTAAATTGTGAACATTTTCAAGTAGTATTTTCCATCTTTTAGTAGAACTCGAAAATAGTACAAATATATGTTGCAAAACTTCAAAAAAAAGAAATAACTTTAGCATGTGAGTGATCCATATCATTAACTATAAAATTAAGACTATGGTAAACACATGACATATACTATTCTCTAGATTAATTTCAAGTATTCATTTTTGAATCCCTTGGTGTTTCCCTTTCATGTTAGAACAATTGTCATAAGCTTTCCCTCTTACTTCAACAATATTAAGACCAAGTGATTTAATTTCATTTAATAACTCGTTAAATAGTCCTAAACCATACATATCATCAACCTTCAAAAATTCTAAAAAGTATTCTTCAAATTTTATTTTGTTACTAGATATGTTCACACATTGAATAACTAGAGTCATTTGTTCTTGGTGGCTTATATCGGGAGTACAATCAAGAATCATAGGAAAATATTTTGCTTCTTTAATAAGTTTTATTATAGAATTTCTAATGTTGTGAGCGAAAATAGAAATTAGTTCATTTTGGAAATTATGCCCTAAATAATGATTATGATTTTCATGATTTTCTATGCGTTAAACATGATCTTTCATTACACTGTCAAATTTTATCATCGTTTGAATTACTTATTAAAAATTACCATTATTGTCTTGATTAAGATTCCTGTTAGACCCTTGAAAAGTCAAATTGTATTTTTATAAATATTTTACATCATAAAGTAATCTTATTAAAACAACTTACAACAAAAAATAAATAAACTTTATTTACTTGTTTAGAATAAATTTACCATTTTTGATCACTTGTTTCACCATTATTTAGCTTTCTATTATAAGCACCATAAGAAAAATGTCTAGATAAAATATCTTTAGGAAACACAAGATTGAATTCTCTAATTGGTCCTTTTTTAACTAAAATTCCCCTTAATTTATTGTCAATATTATCCTAATTACTTGGATCATAAATATTTAAAGGAGGAACAAATTGATGAACATTTTCATTCATATCATTTTCATTACTAGCCTTGTTTTTATTACCAATTTCATTATCATCAATGTTATTTTGATCCTAATCAGTGACAATATATTCATTACCAATTTCTTTCTCAATTAGTGTTATTTTCATCCCTATTGCTGAAAATATTTTTGTTACCAATTTCATTCTCATTAGTGTTATTTTTATCCCCATTAGTGACACTATTTCCATTATCAATTTCATTCTCATTAGTGGTAATTTCATTATCATTGTGGCCATTTTCATTCTCATTTGTAACATTTTTGTGGTCAATTGAAGCATTGGAATTATTTAATTTTTTTTATAAATTTATCCATAGATCCTTTTTGAGCTTGTTCATCTTGTTCTATTTTCTTGTATCTTTTTTCTTTTTCAACTTCCAGTTAGATGTTTTCTAGGAAATATATTAGAATCTTTATAATTATTATATATGGATTTTTTATTTAACTAAAACAATGATAAAATAAAGATTATTAAACAAAGAAAATAACCAATAGAAAAAAGAACACTTGATCAATTTGTTTGCTTTGTGAAGCCTTCCACCAACAATTTTGTACTTCTTTTTTAATTACTCAATTTCCTACACTCAATACACATAACACATACAATTACAAACATACACAATAAAATACTTAAATCCAGATATGAAAAAAAATCAGAAACATAAAATTGAAGTCAAATTCTTTGGCTAATAAGAGAAATCAGAAAAAAAAAACACTTTGGAATTGGGTTTATACTCATTGAATCATCGAAATCAGAATTCACTCAATTTAGAAATCGATTTTCTGATTTCCTGTCTTTTATCTACAAAATCGATTTTGGGGATTTTTCATAAATCAATAAAATCAATTTTGAAGAAAGAAGACAAGAAATCGCAAAACTGATAAGAAATCTGAAAATCATAAAAACATATGCTTCAAAAAAATTAGGAAACCAAACTCGATTTCTTATTCTTACCGGATCGATTTGTTGCCTATTGTCAAGAACTGATTTCACTGGAAGTCTACAAATGACTTCAGAAGATGGATCGATGTTTAATTTCAGAAAAATCAGATGATGGATCGATTTAAGAAAAATAAGATGATGGTTGTCTTTAGAAATAAATAAAATCGATTAAAGGATTGTATTGCTTCAATATCAGGAGAGAGATAGAGATAGAGAGAGAGAGAGGAGGTAATGTTTCAATGGAAGGTTTCATTGAAACCAAATCATCAACTACTCGACTTGAACGAAGCAGCGGGAATGGCTACAAATCAGCAACTTTTTTATTTCTCTTCCGATTTTCTTCTTATTTCAGTTAATTGAGCTTTAGAAATTAAAAAAAAACATATGACACTCTTTTATATATATATAATGAGCCGCATGCAATTTTGGTGCCCTCGCCCAATGCCTAACCCCCCCCCCCCCTCCCCCCCCCCATTAGGTTGGACTTGCTAAAAAGTATGGTAGATGTCATAAAAAAGGGTAAAAAATGTTATCTCAAATGTTCAAAGAGATATCAATGTATTAAAAAGTTACTATCAAAATGTAAGATACCACAAATTTTATTCAAAAGATATCATTGTTACCATCTTTTTTTAATAGTTAAAATTTTCACAAATAACCACATTCTAGCAAGTAGCAAGTAACTAGAATCAGTGAAACAGTTACAAAGGACTTAGAAGCCAAACATTCCAAACAAGACTAGATTTGGAATCGATATTTTTTAACCATGAAAAAGAATTAAACACAATATTATCATCAAACAAAGAGTTTTTTGTGAATGGGAACATCGTCAAACACCACCAAGTTTATAAACACAATACTATCATCACACAAAGAGTTCTTACATATGGGAGCATCGTCAAACACCATCAAGTTTATAAATCGCCACAACATCTGAATGTAATCAAGACTATCACTTCAAGACGTTTTCTCTTTTCTTTTATCAAATGAGAATCATCTACCCATGACAACGATTCCCTTATGAAAAAAGAAAACGAGAATACCACACCTCGCCATTGAGAAACCAAACATTATACTACTTCATCCACTTCGCATCGGAAAAACAAGTGACCGCATGACTCCACCCCTAGATGAAAAAAAACGGAAAGAAGTGGATTGAAAATCTAACCCTTTTCTAGAAATATTACACCTAGTAGGAAGCCTATCCAAAAGAAAACGCTAAATAAAATTGTCCACTTTTCTCGAAACCACATTGCACCACCTTGTACCAAATCGCCACCCAACAATAGGACGTCATCAATGTGCTTCTTAGTAATGTTAACCGAGAAGCACGTAATAGTATCAAGCCAATATCATAACTGTTCCGGACTGTAGATACCACGACATCTCCCAAAAGTACAAGCATATCATACATCTATTTGGCTTCGACTACCCTCTAACCTCTCTCCTTTAATTCCAAACCCAACTTTCATCATGCCAAGGATCACAAACTAGACAA